CCTATTCAGGTTTTATGATTTTTCCTGATTCAGCTTTGGAAGACTGTATGCTTCTAAGAATTTGTCCATTTCACCCAGGTTGTCCAGTTTGTTGGCATATATTTGCTCATAGTATTTTCTTATGATCCTTTGTATTTCTGTTGGGTTGGTTGTTATATCGCCTCTTTCATTTCTGATTTTATTTATTTGGGTCCTCTCTCTTTTTTTCTTAGTGAGTCTGGCTAAAGGTGCATCAATCTTATTTATTTTTCAAACAAAAAGCTCTTGGTTTCATTAATTTTTTTTTTTTTTTTTGGTGTTTTTTTTTTTTGTCATTAATTTCTGCTCTGATCTTTATTATTTTCTTCCATCTGCTCATTCTGGGCTTTTCTTGCTGTTCTCTTTCTAATTCTTTTAGTTGTGTGAGATGGTTTAGTAGAGCTTTTTCCTGTTTCTTGAGGTATGCCTGTACTGCTATGAACTTCCCCCTCAGGAATCCTTTTCTGTGTCCAATAGATTTTAGGGTGTTGTCTGTTCATTTTGGGGTTTTTCCAAGAAGTGTTTGTTTTCCCCCCCCGATCTTATTGGTAAGCCATTCATTGTTTAATAACATGCTATTTAGCCTCCATGTGTTAGAATGTTTTTGTGTTTTTTTATAGTGGTTGATTTCTAGTTTCATGGCACTGTGATCCAANTGTAGAGACTTGCCTTGTGCCCTAACATGTGGTCTATTTTTGAGAATGTTCCATGTGCACTTGAGAAAAATGTGTATTCTGCTGCTTTGGGGTGAAATGTTCTATAAATGTCAATTAAATCCATTAGCTATAGTGTGTCACTTAAGGTCTGTGTTTCCCTATTGATTTTTTGTTTTGATGATCTGTCCAATGCTGACAGTAGGGTGTTCAAGTCCCCCACTAGGATTGTGCTGCTGTCAATCTCCCCCTTAAAGTCCCCCAAGAAATTTCTTATATATTTAGGTGCTCCTATATTGGGTGCATATATAAGAGTTATATCCTCCTGTTGGATTGATCCCTTTAGTATTATGTAGTGACCCTCTTTGTCTCTTGGTATGGTCTTTATTTTGAAGTCTATTTTGTCAGAAATAAGTACTGCTACTCCAGCTTTTTTCCCCTTTCCATTTGCATGGACTATTTTTTCCATCCCTTCACTTTTAGCCTGATGAATCTTTTGCTCTCCTTTGGGTCTCTTGTAGACAGCATATATTTGGGTCCTGTTTTCTTATCCATTCAGCTACACTATATCTTTTGATTGGACCATTTATTCCATTTACATTTAAGGTTACTATTGATATCAACTTATTTAATGCCATTTCCCCCCTTAATGCTGATGTACCTTTTCCTCACTATTCTTTTTCTTAGAGCAGTCCTTTTAACATTTCTTGCAATGCTGGTTTGGTGGTACTGAACTCCTCTAGCCTTTTTTTTTTTTTTTTGTCTGGGAAGCTCTTTATTTCACCTTCAATTTTAAATGCTAGCCTTGCTGAATAAAGCAATCTTGGTTGCATGTTCTTGCTTTTCATTACTTTGAGAACTTCATGCCACTCCCTTCTGGCCTGAAGAGTTTCTGTTGAGAGATCCAATGTCAGCCTTATGGGGGTTCCCTTGTAGGTCACTGCTTGCCTCTCTCTTGCAGCCCTTAATATTCTCTCTTTGTCCTCGACATTTGCCATTTTAATTATGATGTGTCTTGGAGTGGGTCTCTTTGGGTCCTTCTTGTTTGGAACCCTCTGTGCTTCCTGAACTTGTGTGGCTTTCTCCCTTGCCAGTGTGGGGAAGTTTTCTGTCATTATTTCCTACACCAAATTCTCTATCCCTTGCTCTTTTTCGTCCCCCTCAGCACTCCTATAATATGAATGTTGTTTCGCTTTATGTTGCCCCAAAGCTCCCTTAGACTGTCCTCATGCTTTTTAAGTGTTCTTTTGTTTGTTTGTTTTTTGTGGGTTGTTTTGCTGCTCTGATTGAGTGGTGTTTTCTATCTTATCTTCTAAGTCATTTATTCTATCCTATGCTTCATTAAGCCAGCTTTTAATTCCTTCCAGCGTATTCTTGATATCAGATGTAGTATGGTTTATTTCTGGTGATTCTTGTTTATAATATGTATCTTTTTTAATGTTTTCACTAAGTTCCTCGACCTTACCATCAAGTGCCTTGTTTTTCTCATTAATTTCCTTGAGCATCTTTATAATCATAACTCTGAACTCTATTTCTGATAATTTGCTTAACTCCATCTCATCAAGGTCTTTTTCTGGCGATTTTTCCTTTTCTTTAATTTGGGGGTTGTTTCTTTGTCTCCCCATTTTGGTGGCTCTTAGTGTTTGTATCTATATATTAGATATATTTGCTGTCTCCCAGTCTTGTGGGGTGGGATTTTGTAGTGTGAGTCCAGTGGAGCCCAGAGGTGTGTCTTCCTTATACTTCTGAGCTCTTTGCTCTAGGTGTACCCCTTTTGTGGGTGTCCTTTTTGTGGGTTCTTTGGGCTCTTCAATTGTGGTTGGGTCTAGATTGTTGTTGACCTGCCCTTCAGAGGACTCTCCTCTTAGGTTTGCTAACTGTGTGTATCAGCCTAAACCACAACATGCGAGCTGTTGTATGGGTGATGACAAGGCTGGACAATACACAATTAAACTTCCAGGAAACAAGGGGTATCTTACAAAATATCTTGACAATCACAATGAAAACAACCCAAGTGAAAATAGAACTGAGAGAGTGAAGGGAGAACACAAATGCTAAAGCAAAAAAAAAAAAAAAAAAGGAAAGAAAAATGAAGCTAGAGAGAGAAAAGTATATTATTGCTAATAGTAATGAAAATTGAAAATATAATAATAAACTAAAATAAAATGTAAAAAATAGAGAAGCTACTGGGAGATAAAAGGGACAGAGAAAAGATTCTGAAAGAAGGGTGAGCAAAAAATTAAGGATAGAGCATAGGAATCAGATAATAGTTGAAAATGAAAAAATAAAAATACAATAAGGAGACAAACAGAAACTAACAATCAAACAAAAAGACAGGAAGACAGAAGGGAGAAAAAGAGAAGAAATAAAGAAAGAGAAAATTTATGCCTATGGATTGAGGAGAGAGAGTGAGAGAAAGATAAAGCCAGGGCAGAGGGAGACTCCAGTAAAAGATCAGGGGGAAACTATAGAAAACAGCAGTAAACTTCTTGGTTATAATGATAATGTCCTAGCAATTAAGCAGAGAATATCAAGAAAATCTTGGTAGTAGAATAAAAGATAAAATAAAACACAGCAAAAATCCAAAACAAAACAAAAAACAAGCAAAACAAAACAAAATTCTTTAAAAATAATAATTTTAAAATTTTTTTAAATTATAAAATTTAAAAAGAAAAAATTTTTTTCTATCTCTTTTTCCTAAGGAAAAAAAAAAGGCAACCATGTGAGTTTCATCTGGACAGCTTATGTGGTCTGTGGTTCACAGTTTTGTATGCTGATTTCTGTTTTCCTGGGAGGTGCTTGTGTATCAGCCAATGTGAGGAGCCGTCTAGGTTTGGCTCTGGTGTCCTTAGGTAGATGGTTGATCTGAGGCTCTCCATGGACCACATCCTCTGGTCAGCTATTTTGCAACCTTGTAGTTGCCTGGTCTTGCTCCAGAGTCTTCTGTAGAGTCTTTAGGGTGCAGGGTGGCTAGTGTAGCCCAGGGTATCACTTCCCTTAGAGGTGTCACTGTCAGGCGCTCACTCTGCAGGAGTCTCTGCTCCACCGCCAGCTCCTCATTCCCTACCCTGTCCTCTGATTCTAGTTCCCCAGGCTCTGATCTACTGCAGCTTCAGATTGATTTCAGCCTGTTGCCTCTTCTGTATGGGCTGTTTCAGCAGTCTGGGCCTAGTGGTTTTGATTAAAGAACATTCCAGTGAGCCCTTTGCCTGCCCAGCCCCCAGCAGGGGTTTTCACATTTCCTCCAGTTCCCCAACAACAGTCCCTGAGAGTCTTGTTCTTGTAATGTCCTCCTGTGAGCTGCTCTCCCTTCCCCCTCAGGACTGTGCCCTGCGAGGGTGTCTGGGGCCTCAGTGAGCTGGGTCCGCCCCTTCCTGTTGGGGGCGGTGCTCCCGGCTGCTGGAGAGGCCGACGGGCTCCACCCCTCCCTGCTCAGCTCTGGTTGGCTGGTTGCACCAGGCCCACCCCTCAGACCGTCCACTGTGCAGACCCCAGTCCCAGCCTCCACTGGTCTGTCCCCCAGTGCATGCTGGGAAGGTGGGGGCCAGTTCAGTGAGCCGACTCACAAACGCACAAAGCAACACACAGGCAGAGAGTCCACCCTGCGAGGTCCAGTGGCCTGTGCACCAAGCACCCAGCGGGAGGGGACCCAAAGTCAGCTCCATGCAGCTCCCCACACCGCTGGTCTCAGCAAAGCTGGAGCGGCTCCATGCGCCACCACGGTGCCCCTCAGGGCTGGTCACCGATCCCAGCCCCTCCCCACCAGCAGCTTAGGGCCTGGAGGAAAATTCCCTCCCACAGTTAGCTCCAGGCCCTCTCTGGCAGTGGGAGGGCTCCTCCCCTCCCCCTCGCCACACAGATCAAATGCTTTCTGGGGCTCAACCCAATGCCTTACAGGGGGGCAGAGGGTCCCTGTGTGCTCCCGCTCAGTGCAGTCCTCTGGTCCCTCAGTACGCGGGTGCCACACACCCTGGGACAGCCTTCCCTATGGTCAGCACCCTGAGCATTAGATGCCAGTTGTCTGCCACTAGAGGCTTTGTTTCCCAGGAAGGTGCTGGCCGCCATTGGAGGTTTTGTTTCTCAGGAAGGCGCCGGCCGCCATTGGAGGCTTTGTTTCCCAGGAAGGCACCGTCCCCTCCTGGTGGGCACCCCGCTACCCTGGGCCCCTCTGCCCTGTGCGCGGGGCGCTCCTTCCCCTCGTCGCTCCGGGTGTGGGGTCCCCGCTTTTGGAGGCCGTCCGTGCTCCCGAGGGGAGGGAGCTTTGCAGCCTCCAGGCCTCGGGGCTCGGAGCCCAGCACAGGCTTCAAGGGGGATCCCCCTTCCTACGCCCCCTCTCTTACCGGACTCTATGGTGTTTCTTCAGTGCTCCCCACTCGCACTGCCTCCACTCTGGTTCCTCTGTTTTCTCCCAGCTGGTTACGTAGGATTTTAGGAGGAAATCGAGTCCGTGGCTGGGAGCGGGGCCGCCATCTTCCCGCTCTGTCGACTTTTCTTATTTCTGAGGTAAGTTTATCACGATGAACTCCCCTTTTAGAACTGCCTTTGCTGCATCCCACAAATTTGGTATGTTATATTTCCATATTCATTTATCTCAAGGTATTTTTAAATTTCTGTTTGGGGATATTCTTTGGCCTGTTGACTGTTCAGTAGCATGTTGTTTAATCTCCACATATTTGTGAATTTTCCAGTTTTCTTTGTGTCATTTCTAGTTTTTCATACCATTGTGGTTGGAAAAGGTGCTTGGTATGATTTAAGTCTTTTTAAATTTATTAAGACTTGTTTTGTGGCCTCACATATGATCTATCCTGTAAAATGTCCCATGTGTGCTTAAGAATATGTACTGTATTGCTTTTGAATAGAATGTGCTGTATATACCTGTTAAGTTCATCTCATTTAAGGCTGATGTTTCCTTATTGATTTTCTGTCTGCATGATCTATATCTATTGATGGGAGGGGGGGTATTAAAGTTCCCTATTATTGTATTACTGGCTATTTCTCCCTTTAGGTCTGCTAATATTTGCTTTATATATTTGAGTGCATAAATAATTGCAGATGTTATATCCTGTTGTTGGATTGACCCCTCTGTCATGTAATTTGATGTAAGGGCACACACAGACTAAAAGTGAAGGGATGGAAAAAGATATTCCACTCAAATGGAAACCAAAAGAAAGCTGGAGCAGCTATAATTAGACAGATTTGATTCTAAAATAAAGAATAGTATATATTCACATATAATATTTTTTTTTTGTTTTGCTTTGCTTTATTTATTTCCCTGAGAATTTAATCCCTTCCCTCTGCCTAGCAGTTTGAGTGACAGCTAATCATTAACGTTTCTCTTAGAATTAAATTGAGCTGAGATACGATCATAGCTTTAATTAGATTGAGTTCACCTGTAATCAGTCAAACCCCCAACCTCCTTCATCACCACTGCCCCTTAAATCTTATCAATAGTTAAGGTGGAAAGAGGTTAGGCTGTAGTTTCAATATTTTTTGTTTACTTTTATATTAAAACTCTAGAATTCAACTATAATGAAATATGTGGTACCATACAATTTGTTTCTGCTGTCTAGTTTCTTCCTAGTGCCACTTTCTCAGCAAAATTCTGGAAAGAATGAGAATTGTTGGGCAAGCAGTTTGTCTTTTTGCTTCAGAAACTTCTAGATCCCAGCCCGTCTTGCCTGCCCATGCTATTACCTAAGTTTCACCAACTCTGTCCTTCTCAAGGTCTCTGTTTATGGCAGCCTCTCTCTTCTATTGGTGTGCACCCCAGAACAGGATCCTGCCCCAGGTCTGGAGCTATTTGGCTCCCTGCTCATCTACAAAGGACACATTTCTCTCTGGAATTTAGTTCAAGGGATTTTTTGCATATGCCATTCATTGCATATTCCATAGATAAGTATGACTTTTATTTTCTGTTTTCTTATTGTTACCACAGGAGAACTTTCACATCCTTCTACATTATATCAAAAGAAGTCTCAAAACCTAGTACCTTCTTGATGAGCAGTACATATAAGCCCAAAAGACAGAGACAAGACACTGATCTAGGCTCAACAGGAGAGAAATCCTTGAGTAAGACACCAACCTAAGATTTCTAAAGACTTAGACATGAGACCAAGAAAGAGTTTCAAATAGCAAGAGAAGAAGGAACATTATTCCTACAGAGAAAAGAGGAAGAAAGAGAAGACAAAGTTAAGTTTTCAGCAGCTCCTGGCACCTTTATAGTCTTTCTTCTTTCTTCCTTCTCTGTGAAACTAATACATGGTAAATGTGTGTGTTTTTCACATGTAGTAATTACATATTTTAGGAAGACGTGCTTGCTAAGAATGTGAAAGTAATATGGTTTAATCTTGTGAAATGAAGTAATTAATATGGGTAATTCCATTTTTATTTTCAATTCTTCTTTGGTCCCAAGTAGCTGCCTGTTCACTATACCTACATAAAGGTTCTCGACTATGCTATACTGAACAATTATATATTTGGAGAATGATGAGCGGGATTGTACAGTATATGACCCCAGAGGTTCAGGTTGCCTAGAAATGAGCTATCTGGCTGAGGACTCCTCTCAGTGGTAAAGGGTGTACCTAATCTTATTCCCCCCAGGTCTCAGGAGCTGAGTCCTCAGCTTCCCCAGAACTCCTCCAAAACAGCTGGATTCCAGTTAAAATTGCTTGGCTTTGGGACCCAAATATTTATACCTATTACCACCCCTGACACCCTACACACATACAAGGCCCGTGTTATCTTCTAACAGGGAGTGGTAGGCCTCTACTAAAGAATAGTCCTGTGTTTCATCTATCTCACTCATAACTATATTAACTCTATTATATATATTATATACATAACTTACATAACATAGAATTATATATAATATAAAAATATATAATAACATATAGAATATTATTATATAAAATAATTTGGGAAATTATTAAATTTATGTAAAATATATAAAATAATGTTTTATTAATTACATAGAATTGTGTTATATATTAATACATAACTGTAATTCTATAATATCAGTTGCTAACATTTATTAAGCTCCTATCATGTCAACACATCTTCCTATTCTCTACCCCGCACCACGTTTGGCCTAATCCTACTAAGTTATTCCTCAGACCTGTCCCAGCTTGGTTGTCAGTTCCTTCAGAAAGCCTTCCCCACACTCTCCTAGCCCAGGTCAGATGCCCTCTCCATTCCCCTTATTTTCTCTACTAAAACACTTATCACCCTATGTTGGAATTGCCTGTTCAATTGTCCATCTCCCTAACAAGCGGGGAGACCAATTGCTTTGTCATTCTTTATATTGCCAGTTCCCAGAACAGTGCCTGACACATAGTAGGCATTCAATAAATATTTGTTAAATAAGTAATTAATTAGTGCTAGGCACTTCAGGTTATAAAATAGGAAAAAACAGCGTCATAATATATGTACCAGTGTTTCCGAAGTCTCTTATCTCATACTTCCTTTCTTTAAACACAGCTATAAAAAGCAAGGACATTCGAGTGCAGCTGAATGCCTGTTAGAAGAGTGCCATTGCTGGCACGATAGCTTAGACTCTGAAAGAAGATGGCTCAGCAATATTTATGGATCTTGCTCCTTTGCCTGCAAACCTGTGAGTTCTGACCCTTGCTGATCCCCTCCTAGTTTTCTATTAAGTTTTAGATATTTCCCTGAAGGAAGACACTGAAACGCCCTTTTGATAGGTTTTAACACAAGTACCCTGGGTCTCAAAAGGAGACCAACTGATTGAGGAAAAGCTTAAGATTCAAACCTCTTTTTCAGCTTTAGAGTTTGAATTTCTAACTTTTGTCTGTGTCCAGTCTCCAAAAAGCTGAGACAAACCCTTCTGCTCAGAAGAGCCAGCACTGGAAGACCTGGCCAAAAAGCTCAGTAAAAGAATAAATAATCCAAAATCTTGACTAACTTAAAAGCTATTTCTTTTTGGTATTGTAATACGTTATGTAGTTTTTGAAAGAGATATACCTTTCCCAATTTTATTTCATTGCTCTATCAGATTGAAGTGGTGCATGACCACAATTATCATTGTAAAATCAGAACTATTAGTCTGCTTCTATCTTCCAAAAACTCTCTAAAATAAATGGGAAGGGGTTATTATTCCTATTTTACAAATATGTTACTTTCAAAAAATTAAGAACTTGAACTAAAAACTTTGTTTTTCTTATGTATGCTTAACAGTAAATTATAAAAGACAGATGAATATTGTTTGTTGTTAGTACAAAGAAAACTATGTAACATTAACATAGCTCTGGGTGTATTTTGTCATTGCATATATTATTTAATTAAATCCAAACAATTGTCTTGTTTATATAAAAATTGACTGTTTGGCATTTTTAATCTATTTATATTATCTCTTACCAGCTCTAAAATGCACTATCAAATTCCCTATGTGAGTTAGACTACAGAGAATCTAGTGGTTTAGAATATTCTGAAAAGGTAGGATGAATGTACCATGGTCTCTCTGGTTCCCTTGATCATTTAAAATTGTGACTCCTTCCATTCGAGCTTTGCGGGGACTGCAACATCTAGGCAGGCCAAGTTTTTGGAGCCTATGCTACTCACCCTTACATGGTAGGTATAAAATGCAAGTAGATGGGGAAAGAGTTGGATAAAACCTAAATGGAAATCTAGGGATGTCCGTAATCTTCCAGAGAAGGGTGCCATTTGATATCACTTAACTTGTAAGGCATTCTACAATTCTCCTGTAATCAATACTAAAACCATTGAAATAAGAAATGTAGATATTATTATGCAAAAAAATATAAACTAAGGTTCAGATTAAAATAATTCACCTGAAGTTTCACAACCTAAAATTAGTAAAGCTGGAAATAGACATTGGTTCTTCTAATTCCAAGGCGATAGCTCCTTCTGTTCCACACTCTTTCTGACCTCACTTATTACTTTTTTAAATCCTTGAAGCTCTTCAAAGGGCTAACACCTGAAGTTGGCAAATCAGCTAGTAGTGAATCATTCATCCATTAGCTTTGTGACAAGCTCAACTTGTTTTGACTTCGGAATGGGGAAAACATTTTTATTCCAGCAGGTGATACTATAATGGGATTTTGAGAATCAAAATAATTCATGTACAACATTTGCCATAGGACCTGAATATAGTAAGTGCTTAACAGAAAAACAACAACAAACCTGCCATTGTTTTTCATACTTGCTTTCACATGGTATTAGAAAGAGCCAAGGCTTTCTTGCACAGAGATCCTGGGCAAGACATCTCTGTGTGGGATGACCCAAGCAACACCAGCAGGAGAAAAGGTGGTGAGAGTCTGAGCTCAGGTGTGGGCTGTTGGGATTCTGGGGAAACCGGGGGTAAGATATGTAAGATATTCATTTTCTCAAGGACCCATAAAAATCAAGGGCACGGGTTTGTTTTAGAGTATTGGCGCCAGAAGTACTTTCACTTACCATTTGCCTTTGCTGAATGGATCTGTTTGCTGCTTAAAAATTATTCCATGAAATTATTTCTATTTATTTGCTAAAGAGGAACACATCAAAAATAGTACTTCTGTTTATTTATAAGAGGGGTAATATTTGATAAAAAAGTACTTTTGTTTATTTATAAGAGGGGTAATATAATCTGACTATGTCCAGGGACTGTTATTAAGTAAATGTTATGGGAATATTGGCTGACTTAATTTGGCAAATAGCTAGAACTCAGGGTCCACAAAATGATTAAAAAATTTTTTTTAATTAAAAATTAAATTTAAAAATTAAAAAAAAGAAAACACAACTGAAAAAACCCTTACAACATAAACATTTCCTGCTTGCAAAACTACACCCTAAATCCTTCCTGCTGCTGTTGCTGGCAGAGGTGGCCCTTGGATATGATCAACTGATTTCCTGCACTTCCCTAAAATTCAGATCAGCTGAAGCAGCTGAGATACAGTGGAAAAAGGAAGTTAGAAATCCCCATATTTCTCTTGAAATTACTGAAATAAATCTGAGTGTGTAAACTCATGACACTTCCATGTTGGAAATTTTTTCTCCAAGAGCCAAGACTCACAGGCTTATGTTCTGATCTCAACTTTCTCATCATGACTTGTGAACCCTGTGACTCTGATTGTCCCTCCAAGTATCCCGCTAGCCACCCTCCCTCTGGGGTGGGAGACAGGAGAGTCTAGCACTTTTGCTCCATGTCCATTACTCTCTACATGGGATTTTGTTTGTTTGTTTGTTTGTTTTTCATGCAATTTTAGTTCTTCCTTTTCTGTGTGCCTTTCTTTTTCCCGTTTCTTAAACCCCTACTCTTGCTCCCTTCTCCTATCTCTCATCATTAATAGTAATAACTACTTAAGGAGCAATTACTTATGTGTCTGGCATTGCCCTGAGTAGTCTACATTGATCATTTTATTTAATCCTCACAATACCCTATGAGATGAGTACTATTAATATTTCAAGTTTATACCTGAGACACAGAATTCTGGAGGTCATTTAGCCAAAAAGTGGAGGAAGTAGGGCTTGACTTCCAGTGTCTTTAGACTTAACCACTTAGCAATACTGCCTTCACCCACTTTGATGCTGAAGTGGAATAAAACACTACTACTAATTGTTATCACATTTTGGGATTTGTCAGTGAAGAGTGGTGTTTTATGTCCAGCAAGACAGGATTATTCATGGAGAGACTGGGCCTGTTTCTACACCCACCTGCAGAGGAGGGTGGAGTTGGTGGGCAGGCCTTTGCCAATAGCCAAAGTTTAGGGAGGCCAGCAAGGCAGAATATCCAAGGAAATGACCGTATCTAGACATGGTTCAAGTACCATTCACATCGATATGGTTTGGGTTGACTTGAATTTGCTTCTTAAAAACAAGTAAGGATTAAATATAAACAAGGTCTTGATATCCTGTTGAATGTAAAGCATAGTCATTCCAGCAGCTACCTAACCTTCCTCCTTCTTTTAGGATCCTTCAAATAAGCATTTTTTTTTAAAAATGTATCTTTATTGATTTCAGAGAGAAGAAGGGTGAGAGAGAGATAGAAACATCAATGATGAGAGAGTCATTGGTCAGCTGCCTCCTGCACATCCCCGCTGGGGATCAAGCCCACAACCTGGGCATGTGCCCTGACCAGGAATTGAACCTCGATCTTCTGGATCATAGGTCAATGCTCAACCGCTGAGCCACGCCCGGCTGGGCTCCAATAAGCATTTTTTATTCTCTTTCAGGGGCAGGGGGCAGTAGCTAATCTTCCCTCCTCTTATCCACTGCCTCCTAAGTTAATGAATGATGATGGAACCACCATGAATACTGCAGGCCTGGAAGGACAATTTAGAGATAGCTGCACCCTGGCATTCAAGAGAGTTGGTTATAGCTGGTCATGCTGAGTGAAAAGAAGTAGAGGAAAAGAGGAAGCATGACTGACTTCTATTTTACCTACTCTACTCCAAAATGTCTGCATATTTACTTTCTCTAACATCTCCCCAACACAACTCTCTTTTGTCCCTTAACAGTTGCCTGGGAGTATTATTTTAATCTCTGTAACAATGTTTTTTTGTTTTCTGTAACAAACACAGAGTGCCTAGTATATGCGAGGCACTTTTCTAACAGGTTTACAAATATTAAGTCATTTAACCTTCATAACACTTCTATGAGGTAAGTGCTTCTGTTAGCTTGCTTGTAAAGCTGATAAAAGTGAGGCATAGAGAAGTTGTTAATTTTCACAAGGTCTTATTGCTAGTACCTGATGGTGCGGAGATTCAAACTTTGGGCAGTCTGGCTCTTTCTCACTAAGTCATGGTGCCTCGCATGGGGGTAGACAGAGGGTGCTCCTCATGACAAGACTCTTTGGGGGTGTCTAGATTCTTCTCCCTTGGTATACACACTTGAGAGCACTCATTTCATTTAACCCTCATAACTCCTCAAGTGGCAGGGCATATATTTTTTATTTCATTTACCAACTAGAATCCTGAGACTTAACATGGAAATTACTTATCCATGTCATTTAGCTAGTCTGCAACAGAGCCTTAACTAGAGCATGTTTCTTGATCCCTAGTTCAGGACACTTTTACTAGCCACTCTATGAAGCCCCATCCTGTGGATCTACACACAAAAAATTTTTATAAACATAATGAAAATATTAGAGTGAAAAGAAGTCACAGTTAGCCAACTGCCCCTTCTTATTTATCAGTTTATACCCTGAACCTTCGACACCAAGACAGAGGAGCCAGTGAAGAGTCCTTTCTTGCCTTCACTCTTTCCCTTGCTCTGAGTTTTTCTACCTTGCTTTTTATTGCTGGAAAAGGGGTAATTTGGTCAGTAGCCAAAAATTATTCATTCTCTCAAAAAAATTTAACCACCCACCAGGTGTGAGGGAAATAGCAGTGACCAAAACAGACAAAGACTCTGCATTATGGTAATTACATCCTAGTGGGAATTGGGGGCTGGGGAAGACAATAGATAGGCGCCCACGATGCTTTCGATGCTTTCGTAGTGATGACTGCTATGAAGGAAAGTAAAGGCAAGGCAACAGAGAGTGACGGGAGGGAACCGCTGCTTTACACATGGTGGTCAGGAAAGCTCTCTCTGGTGGGATGGCCTTGGAGCAGAGTTTCACAGTGACGGAAGGCTGCAAAGAGTGTCGTTGTA